TGAGATGTGCTTTCATTCAGGTTTGAAATTATGAAGGAGAGCAAATTGAGGAATTTGGTGTGCTCATAGAGGAAAGAACAAAAAGTTGCTAAGATCTAGAGCAGGAGAATAGGAGGAGCAGAAAGGGTCAAAGAGGAAATAAAAACTGCTTCCCTCCTCATCTACAGATAAGAGAGAAGGAGGAATTTGGAGTCTCTAGGGTAGGAGTGGGGGGGAGGGGTTGAGAGGAGAAAGCAGAAGATAATGTGTAGGGGTCAGGGAAGAAATGCGAGAAGAATTTAGAATGGGGGATGTGTTTTCGCTTTTGACACTCATCTTCAAATGAAACGCTAAAGATGAGGATTTGGTACTCTGGGGGGATGGAAGGAAGGAGAGAGGGGTGATTGGTTGGAGTTGATAGGGATGCCTGCAGAGCAAAACTTCAAGTTTATGGAGTAAACAACTCATGAGTCACTCCAGATATGGGCTGCAGGGTGTTCTGGGGGCTGCAACATACTTAAAGGTTCTGGTTTCAGCTTCTGGTAGTTGAGACTTTGTGTAAAGAAATGAGGACCACTCGCCCATCCTGTAGACTGACTGATTTTTAATTGATTTTTCAGCTGATGAACACTTATTAACAATAAGATTAGGACTGAATGACTGAATACATAGCTGACTATGGCAGTGTGATTCCTTAAACTGTTGATAAGGTAATCATCAGTAATTATCTCATGTTTGTGTTGAAGGTCAAATGGAATCATTTGATCATTTCATTTTCATAAACTATTATACAAAACTGAACAATTCATGTTCACAGGATATTTAATTTGGTCATATTTTCATACATTATACTGATTAAAGAAACTCATTGGTTGACAGCACATGACCTGAAAACATTAATGGGAAAAGTTAAACATAAAAAAAGGTTTAATTTGAGGTCGGTATCAACTGTTTTTTTTTCCATTTAAGTGCATTTTTATATTGGGGGGGACTTCAGATACTGTAATTTTTGCCTGCCAATGTTTCTGTGCATGTTTCTTGACTGCCTGCTGCGAATCTTAATTCTTTTGGCCAACATATCTGTCTTTTTTAGCAATTTTCAGCATTTTCTCTCTGTCCTGCATCTTTTTTGTTGGCTTTGTAATTCAGTCTCCTTCAGGGCTTTTATGTAGGCAACTACTTGGAAGTTCTGCCATGTGTTAGCCCCAAAAGCCAGCATATAGATTCCTTATAGTGCTTGCACTGTTTAGAAATAAGATTCTTCCAAACACAGGGTATTCACACAAGCTTAACCTTGTTAAAATATTTCAGTTCATCCTAAAGGCATAATCACACCTATACTTTGCTTTTATCTCATTTTAATAATTTTAATCAACTGTTGATCCAGAAATCTCAGTTCACTTATATATATATATAAAACACTTAATCACCACAGTATAACACCAAGTCAATTTAACTTCAGTGATATTAATCTGTCCATTTAAGAAGCACAAGTGATTGTGAATCAGTTTCACCTGCTTTGGTGGAAATAAAAGTGAAAACAAGTGCAATAGAGAGGCAGGACAAACAAGCTGACCCCAGAAAAAGGAATTGTTTTACATGTAGTGGCCACAGACAAATGCTTTCTCTACTTATCCTTCCTGACTGATTTTTCTTAAGTTTTGTGTTTTGCTAGTGCCCCTGTCACTACTGATAGCATGAGGCAGTACCTGCAGCCCAGTGAGGTTGCACAGGTAGTACAGTTACATCCATATGTGTAGTTGCAAGAAGGTTTGCTGTGTCTACTATCACAGTCTCAAGAACACAGAGGAGATAAGAGGAGACCGGACGTTACACCAGGAGAGCTCGGCAGGGCCGTAGAAGGCCAACAACCCAGCAGCAGGACCAATATCTGCTCTGATGTGCAAGGAGGAACAGGAGGAGCACTGCGAGAGCCCTACAAAATGACCACCAGCGGCTACTGGGGTGCATGTTTCTGACCAAACTGTCAGAAACAGTTTGTGGCATGAGGGCCTGACGTTCTCCAGTGCTCATAGCCCAGCACCATGGAGCTCAATTGGCATTCACCAAGAAAACACCAGAATTGGCAGGTCCGCCATTGGCACCCCATTCTCTTCACGGATGAGAAAAGGTCCACACTGAGCACTGTGATAGGCATGAAGAAGTCTGGAGAGGCCATTGAGAATGTTATGCTGCCTGTAATATCATGGAGCATGACCAGTTTGGTGGTGAGTCAGTGATGGTGTAGGGAGGCATATCCTTGGAGGGTCACACAGACCTCCATGTCATAGCCAACAGTGCCCTGACTGCTGTGAGGTACTGGGATGAAACCCTCAGAGTGACTGTCAGACCGTACGCTGGTGCAGTGGACCCTGGGTTCCTCCCAGTGCAGGACAATGCCTTGCCTCATGTGGCCAGGGTGTGTGGGAAGTTCTTGGATGATGAAAGCTTTGATGCCATTGACTCGCCCTCATGTTTCCCTGACCCAAATCCAACTGCGCACCTATGGGACATTATGTATGGGTACATCTGATGCCACAAAGTACCACCACAGACTGTCCAGGAGTTCTCTGATGCCCTGATCCATGTCTGGGAGGAGATCCCCCAGACTACCATCCGCTGACTCATCAGAAGTGCATACAGGCACGTGGGGCCCCTGCACACTTCTGAGTCACATTACGAGTTGCTGTGATGAAATTGACACAACTTAGATGAACCTGTGATTTCAGTTTTTCACTCATTCATCAAGATCCAGTATGTGATTTAAGTGTTCCTTAGATTTTTTTTGAGCAGTGTATATGAAACTGTATCACATGAATATTTTTGTATATAGAATCAGAGCTGTATCAGCCACATCAAATCAGCCTAATTTATGCAGATGAGTACATCTATACCCCTGAAGCCTGTTTAATGCCACCTCTAATTACTATTGATCACATCCTGTGAGGACTCACAGATCTTAATGAATGTTAATTACAATAAAGTATGTTCTAATGAAATTCATAAAAATGAACCAGTAGTACCTAGAGTACAGTAATATGAAGCATTTATGATGGCCTGTTTATCTATGTGCTTGTGCTACAGGCCCCTCCTTCCTGTCAAGTGCACTGCCATTGCAAATGAAACACTCATAAGGCATAACAACAAAACATACACAAGACAAATGATCACTGCACACATTTGCAAAGAAAGATATGTAATACGCAGGCTGTCTGAGTTTGTGGCAGTGGTACCTCCACCAGGGACGATAAATGTCAGTTCTCATTGCATCACCACATAACCCTTTGCACTTGCAGAGGATGGATGGATATCCATGAATTGAGAGAGGGAGAAAGATCGTGTCCTGTGGCTAAAATTAGCAATGATTCCTCCTCCAGGGTTTTTCAAGGACATGCATGAAGACTGCGTGCAAAAACACATGTTTGTGCACAACAAGCACACACATACATATATTTAGCCCATCTCATTCTCTATTTTCATCTCCTGACTTACCATTTCTAATAACAAATATTTCAGATAATGTTGTTTCATTGATTGGTGTGGTGATAATTTGAACAGTAGCCCATATAAAACAAGACCTAAACAATTTGAAATATGAATGAGAAAACCATAGTTTTTAGAGGGACTTGTATGGCATATTATCCAAACAGGTTGTTGTTTCATTCTTTGTTTTTGTTATTGTGCCTCGTATTTTTCTTGTCAAAGTGTCGGCTGTGGGATTTCTGATGGGGTTATTGATATTGATTTTCTCATGTTACTGTTTCCCCACTTTCTTCTTCCCTCAACCCCCTCATTCCTCCACCTTTCCCAACCACCCTCCTTCTCTTTCCACCCTCTTAGGAGATCTCAGACTACGATTTGCAGGAGCTAGTTATGAAGTCCATTGGTCGGCTGACACTGGTGCGCCAGACGTTCCCCATGCCCCAGAACACAACTCAGCGCTGTGTCAAGCACAACCATAGGATTAACACTTCCCTCTGTGACCCTAAAAGCCCCAAGGCTCAGCAGCTAGAGGTGAGTTGGTTCAAAACAAGCTACTAATCAAAGTATGTGTGTGGATAAGAGTGGTGTGTGTCTTTCATTGGCTTTATCTCAGATCTATGTACTGTTCAGGTCAACTTACTTGTCTCTACAGTTGACTTACTCAAAATACATGATACCTCTATTAAGTCTAGAGTGGCAACATGTTATATCACTTTAAATTTAATACAGTAAAGCCGAGTATAATGTTTTTCAGTGCAGTACATTTACAGTGAGCTGAAAAGCTGCTCCTTGTCACCAACAAGCATCAGTCAATAACATCAGTGCAAGACAAACAGCAACAACTACTGCGCAGAGTTGTTGTTGGCCTGGTCTTTGGCATTTTGTCTCCTTGCAGCTTAATTAGCTAAATGGACTACCAAAAGAAGTTTATCTGAGGGCTACTAAGGATATAAGATTAGATTCAGTCTCTTGTTTCTTTGAAGTTTAGAGGGATGCCCAGTGGAAATGTAACAGATGATGACCAGCTTCTTTATTGGACATCTTTCCCCTAATAAAGCTCTGCAGCTTTAAAATCCTAACAACAGTTCTAAAATATGAAAGATCAAAACACTTGATTTTTAGTGGTATTAGTCATATGACCATGCACACCTCCATCATCTAACCAATATTTATTCTTTCAAAAGCATCATGCATTCAAAGGTACTGATGTGTCTGATGTATCCATGTGTGTCAGGGCAGAAACACTCTGCCCTGTCCTCTACATGCACATGTCCTCTGCATGCACATGTCTTTTGAAATGCTTTAGATTTCACAATATTTAAAAACAAAAGGTCACAAGCTACGTATGCATTTAAAATCAGCTGTGGTGCTTCTTTCTTTCTGTTAAAACTGCTCATAGTGATATTTCAACATGTCTTTTGACCCGACAGCCTCCCATTGCGCCACGCTTGTTGATTTGACATTGCAACAGCATGTGCCTCCAAGGCATTTTACCTGGAACATTAATCATTTTGGGAAAATATGGCTCATGCCACTGTGTGTTTATCTAAGACCACACATCTTGTCTTATATTATTGCCATGGAAAGCACAATGATGTTTAGTTTTGGGGTTTTTTTTAGTATTTTTTTTTGTCCATCTTCACATTTTCTTTACTTAGTGTGTTTTTAACAGTTGTCGCCCAGGGGTCAATATGTATGCAATTATTACCAATGTTTCTGTGTATGTGAGTCATCAAACTTCCATCAAATATAGGAGAGAAACAGGAACTCATTCTTATTTATGTGTCAAGGCAGAAATATAAAATTGAATTAATGTGCTGTTGATGTATGTGGATGCACAAAACCCTGGGGTAACACATTGTATGAAAGTTGGAAATACACTGAAAACAGAAATGTGATAATAAATATTATTATAAAATGTAATAAAGTAAAATTTAAAACAATCCTAAAAAGGTAAAAAAAAATAAGATAAAGGCATGTGTGTCTTTAAATTATCTTCAAGGCTGAATGAAGTCTAGAGGTGCCTATGGTACCTTAACCATAGAGTATGCAAAACTCCTGGACACCCTGAAGTATTTAATAATGTACAGAAGCTCACCCTGTGTGTCCTAATGTGAAGCAAGTGATTCTAAATTGTAAAGATTCATTATCAAGAATCAACCCCTTTCAGCGTATTCATTAGTTTCTGGTAGAGTCCAGTCATCTGTCCATTCCACTGGCCAAGGGTGTGCAAAGTCTGCAGATAAAGCACACCATACACATGTTCATTTTGACATCTTGTGAGAGGGCATGTGTGGGTGGTTGAGTTGTTAAATTAGAGAAAGAAGAAACAAGGGATGGGTGAGAAAGACACACAGAGAAAGAGTGAGAGATAGCCAGAGGAAGTAGATCAGCTCAGTGGTCAGAGAGTGGCCTAGGAGCCCAATTTCACACTGCAGTGAAGCACTGCATCTCAGGCTGACCACACACACACACACACACACACACACACACACACACACACACACACAACACTCAGCTCACAGTTCAGAACCCACATAATTCAGGCTCCCCATATAGCAGGAGATTTTCACCTTAATTTTCAGAGAAAAACCGTTAGGCACAGACATGAAGAAAGAGAATGGTGTAAAAATTTCATGTACCCACTTGGTTCACTTACATTTTAAAGTAATGCATTAGAAGAAGAGTAACAGACAGAACAAGCAAAGCTCTACTCAGGCCCAATTGAGGAAAATAGTTTGCAAACACCTTTTATTTTTTTTGTATTCTTGAGTAACAAGATACTATTTCCTGATGGTTTGCATATATATGTATGTATTTAAAAAAAACAAGCATACTGTGGAAGTCAACATTACTTTTCATGAAACAAAACTGACATCCTAACCATATACCATACAGTACAGTGCCATATGCTGGACCTCTCAAAGATGTGGTCCACATACATTAGGTGGGTCAGATGACATCCTGGTGAGACTTTATTGATGAGTGACTGACCTAAACGCAAATGCCTGAAAGAAACAAACAAACAAAAAACAGCGCTCTTGTGATCATTCTCATATTTACAATTGATAAAAATACTTGAATAAACTTTATGGCAGAGACACACCAAGCCGACAGTCGGCCGTCTGGTTTGTCCTGGTGTGTCCAGGAAAGCCAGTCACTGTAGTGATTTCACCTGTTTAGTGCAGTTTCTCCTTGTTTTACACCTCCACAACCTCCTTTATTTTTCCACAACCAAATGACCAAGGGCAGGGAACATCAGTGTCATTTGATTAGAAGTGGCTTTAAACCGCAGCTGTTTTGAACAAGAGGTGCTTTGTTTATGGCTCATACTTCTGCACTCCAGCTCTTTATCTTTCCATTTCTGAACGGTGAATACACATACCACCACCTGCTAATAGGAGGAGTTATTTCTGTCACATAGCAGCAGAACATACATGCTAGTTGGCCATTGGCTATAGTCTGTGTGGGGTGTTCAAGTGTCACTTTTTCAGCCCAAATGGCCCAGGCGAAGGCATCATGAGGAGACACAGCAGTTGGCCTTCACTGATGCTAGTTCTTTCACGTCGGCTTGGTGTGTCTCTGTCCTTAAATGTTTGACCAGTGCACAAAAGTCCAATTTCAGGCAAAATAAGACCTTTAGAGTGTAGAATCCTTTATTAAATCTGGTAATAAACAATAATGCTTCTGGATCTGGTGGATAGAATATTAATGGTGTGATAATTAGTGCTTTTAAAGTGGCAGGGTTGCAAAAATTATATTGGTTTCATTTCTGAAAGTTACTGAAAAAAATGTTTTGAGCTGAATTGGAATGAAATGCAGAATGATGTTTATCATTTACTGGCTATCTAAACAAAAATGGTGGGCTTAATATTTGTACACTAAATACAGTAAGTACATTGTGTGTGTGTGTGTGCGTGTATGTTGTGTGCACACTCTTGTGTATCTCATAGTATATAACAGGTTTGAGTGTGTACGAGAAAGTTGCTTTGTCTAAAACTGTGTGCTGCCTGCTTCTTTTTTATGTATGGAAGGCAGTGTTACTGAGAAAATGGCTTTTGCTTTGCATGAGTGGGCACCTGCATATACCTGCGTGTGTATAGAGTCAGCCCTCTTGTACTCAATCTAGTGTATTTATTATGTTCTTGTTAACATGGAGAGAAGAAGCTCGGTAGATCACACAGTGATTGATCACAGACTGAATAAACTCCTCTCCTTCTGTCACTCCTTCCTCTTGATCTTGTTCCGTGGTGCCAAGGGCTTATCAATATGTTTAAAATGTAATATATGTGAGTTTATGTCTGGTGGTATCAGTGAAATATTTTGAGTCAAAAGGTATTGGTATCATGTGAAATTACTACTGCAGGTGCAAGACAACAAACAAACATTTGTTTCAGAGAGGTCAAATACATAAAAGAAAGCCAAACAGAGAAGAGAATGCATTTCAGTTTTTCTTTTTTGATCAATGTTCTGGCGGATATGCAAGTAAAGCAATGTAAGTGAAACATTTAATCTTGGTAGTATTTCAACTTGAAGAAGTTGCCCTTTTCTCCTGCTGGTTTGTATTGACCCCTTTTTTCCAGATTCATAACTAAAGTAGAAAGAATTGCTAGAGTAACTCAAACTGAAGCACATGAAAGCAGGGTCATTTGGACTTAGTGCCATTTTTGTGTTACATTTGTATCACACCTTTGTAAGCAAATCTCTCCTAGAGCATTTTCAGCAAAGAAAATGTAAGTTTTTACACTCTCTCATTTTTTCTTTTTGCTTTTCTTTTTTATTCCTTTTTCTCTCTAGATCACCAACCGCTACATCTATGATACTGTGCTGCTGCTGGCCAATACCTTCCACAGAAAGTTGGAAGACAGGAAATGGCACAGCATGGCCAGTCTGAGCTGCATAAGGAAGAACTCCAAACCATGGCAGGGAGGCAAGAGCATGCTGGATACAGTCAAAAAGGTATATATATATATATATTAAAAAAAAAAAACAGGAACCACACACACACTTGTTTTGATTCATGGACACCCATGGTGGTGAGTACTGTATATACTGTCCCACCCACTTAGATGCATTCTGCAGTGTCATTTAATTCATAATGCAAATGATGAACATTGTCATTTGTATCATTTGTATTATTATGAATAATATATACAGTATGCAGTTTTGGGAAGGCTACTTTCAAACTGTAATAAGTAACAATTATTAGCTACCTTGTTAAAAATATAATAAGTAATATTTCGATTGCTTCATCCCAGTAGTGGCATGCATTTTTTATTGCTTTTCTAAAAATGTTTTAAATTGGAAAATAAAGCTGAAAAGTCCTATTTAAACCAAGCAGTGTAAACCTCACGACAGTACTTGACATTTATTTATTACTGTAAAACCTTTATTAATGGTTACTGTTGAAACATGTAGCCTACTGAACAGGCACCAAGCAAAACCCTTTTCTGATCTCAGAAGGAAAATACTGTTGAATTTCCAGCACTGAAAAGCATTCTTATCTGACAACATGACCACTGGCCTTGGTGGTGTCGGCCGGTCACACCCAGGCAGGGCAGATTCAAGTAGCTTAGGGCGATGTGCTTTGATTGACAGACCAGAGGTGTTGCAAAGTCAAACAAGAGAACCAATCAAAAGCAACATTAAAAATTTAAAGAATGCATGAATGGAGCCTGTCAAGATGTAGAGACAGCTCCTTGTAAGCCACTCTACCCTTGTTGGTGTTATTTGTCCCAACAGCTTTGCTGACTCGCTTTGGCTGAAAATATGCCAAACAAAGGCAGTCAACAAGCAAAAGATGTGAAGCAACAGAATGAATGTTACACTATATACAGTTTATATTTATATAAGCTTTTTACCGAAAAGAATATATTCAAATGTAACCCCACTGTAATAACCAACATTTTAATCAATTACTGTAATTTAATTGCACACTTTTCTCAGGAACTGTAACTGATTAGTTACATTTGTTTTGTAATTTAATTGCAGTAACTAGTTACATCTAACTAGTTACTTCCTAATACTGATACCATGTCATCCTAAATCTAATTAGTATGATACAATCAGTGACACATTCGGTTTCAAAACTCTTGGAAAACATCCTGTAAAGGTAGATAGATGTAAGTTGTTGTGCTCCTTTGTCAACATTTTTTCTGTTATGTAATTTCTTGGATTCTTTAGTCAGATATTGTTGTGGACAGGTAATAAAGAACAGTAACTGACTGGATTAGCTCCATTGTAGATATTCCTGTGCATGTAATGGATAAACAGTATATGAAAGACTGAAAGAGTAGCGAATACTTCACTTCTTTCTATTCCATAACTACATAAGATTATATTGCACTAGTACTTACCGACCAGTTCAACGCCACAGTTCATACATTGTTTCCAAACATTTTGTATGATTTTCAACAAAAAGTAGTCACACCAGGGCATTGCTGAACCAGCCACAATGGATCAATGCAATCAGATTTGCATAAAATCAATACTAAAGTTCTTCCCATTCGTTGAATTACATTTGAAAAGTTGCTGATATTTCCACGAAGCAATCACCTGACTCCAAATCTGTTGATCTGCTTCAAGCTGAAAACATCTTTGTGTGAGTTTGAAGCTGAGGTTTGATTATGGTGGAAGGCAAAACCCATACAGTATGTTCATCTCCTAACCCAACTACAACATGCAGTTTTTGAGTTTGTTCTATTTATAGATGTATCTTTGAGCAGTGGGAAAACACGTCTCACGCTTTTCATTTAGGGAGCATGTATTTGCATTTCAAGACACTGTGCTCATTACATGAACATTTGGAGACCGGGGACTATTGTTCCTTAACTGAGAGACACTAGTTGAAATAGCAACGTGCAGTCACTGCTAAATTAATTTATATAGTGCCATCTCTTGGCATAACACAGTCCCCTCCAGGGAAGAAGAATGACAGGGAACAGTCTCTAAATAAGTATACTGCTTTTATATTGCTCTTATCACATGGAAATCCAATTTTTCTTCATTACTTCAACAGAAACTCTGTTCTCATTACACTTTATGACCGATGTGCTCATAAATTCAAAGTACTGCATACCTTTAAAAAACTAATGCACTAATCAGCAAGTTTTCCTTAGTTCCCAGATACCTTACTTTTGGGAGATAGAGGTTGTCATCCTGCAGGCGTAATTTTATGAATCTCTGCATTTCACCTTGAGTTTAGGCTGGGGTTTGGCAACGCTTTCATCACTATTAAATCCAATTGGATCAATGCCCTCTGTTTTCATATCAATAAAAATCACTCCAGGGATGGCAGTTTGAGTGGATGTTGAAGCCAAGTGAAATGGTAATTTAGGATTAGTGTGAGACAATAATAAATACGATGCAATGGCTTTCACATCTATCTCTGCATTTCACCTTGAGATCAGGCTGGGTTTTGGCAACGCTTTCATCAGCCAGCTCCGGCTGTTAAACCAACCCTGATGGCTGTCTCAACAGAGCTGTGTTAAAGAGCCCTAAGCAGTAATGGAGTTGAGTTTAACAGCCTGGCATCAGTTCCATTTTCCACTGTATCAACAGTGTGCTTTACTTACTGTGCGTGCCTGTGTGTTTAATCAGCTTTTGGGTATGTGGGGCCATTATGGTAATAATAAATACTAATTTGCAGCTGTTGATGAGGAGGTCTATTGATGTTGTTGTTTGATGTTCATTGACAAATTCAAAGTGGGGAATACAATGCAGCAGGTGAAATTGGTGTTTCACCAATCTTGAAAGTTTGAAGAGTGTGCTGCGTTTGAGTGCAATGACTGCATATCACCTTTAATATTCAGCTGCTCAAGTAGGTTGATGTGGGATTCATTTTAATATTGTAGTGATTGCTGCAAAGTCACAGTACGTTCTATGAGACAACCCAAGATTCTTAGGTATTAATTGCCTGAGACATGAGGTGCAGGTGTCTGTGATTTAAGCAAACTAGTCCATGCATGATGTGCATGTATGAATTATGGCCCAAATCACCCCTCATACAAACAGGTGGCAAATTAAAGGGGAAAAAAATGTAAAGTATCTCAGTAACGCATTAAGCCACCATGTGCCACCAGCACACCTTAGCATTGATTCTACAAGTTTCTGAACTGTACTGGAGGGATGAAGAGCAGTCTTCCAAAAAGATATCCCCTCATTTGGTGTTTTGGTCATGGTGGTGGAGAACATCTGATTCTCATCATTTTCATACTCATTAAAGCGTTCAGTGACCCCTCATTCCCTATTGTCATCCTGAACAAACCGCTCATTTATTCTTTTTGTTGTTGTTGTTGTCACCCACCAGTAAATGCCATAATCCATGTTTTATACACACAGATGCACTTTGTCACCCACCAGTAAATGCCATAATCTATGTTTTATACACACAGGTGCAAGCACGCACACTCACACAATGTGAATCATATTGAGGAGTATTGCACCTCTTTTTCCCTGAAACAGCTGTAGCGTCACTTTCACTGATAGGTCACCCTACCGAGAGTTAGAGCAAAAGTTAGGGACTGACATTGTCTGAATGTGTAAATTCTTGTGAGCTAAACTTCTTCTCCATTCAGGACATTGTGTTTTGCAAGTGCAAAATATGCCGAGTGGGTCCAAAAACAAAATCTCTTTTATTTATTTTTTTAGCCTGGTGCTTATTAAGACCCAGATTAATAAACTGGTACAACAGCAGGGAAGACAATGGGGAATGTGCCATTACCCAGCCTTCAGATAATCTTCGAGACTTCCATTAACAAGCAAGCCACCAAGACTATTAATGATCCTTCTCACGTGTTGCACTCTGAATATGAGCTGCTAAAGTCAGGAAGAAGATATTGAGTCCCAGTTTACAGACATAATTGCTATGTGCACTCATTTGTCCTGGTGTTTATTAAATTTATGAACAGCTGTCTTTATAAGTCACACTGTAAATTTTATATGCATCTCTTGATTCATTGGAATTTGGTTGAGTTGTAAAACCATCCTGTAATTCCACTTCATATTTTGGTCATATTAATGTCCCAGCTCAGGCGGTAGGCAGCTGGACCTGGACTATACAGACAGGTGTCTTGTTTTTATTGTGTTGTGATGTTTTTAAATTGTGTTGTTGTTGTTTCCTGTGGTAGTGATGGCATGACTTTTAAAAGAAATTAATTTCTCTCAATGGAAACCTTAAAGAGAATCCTGACTTTGACCTTGGCCTTCACACACCCCTGCATGTTGATATTGTTATTCCTCAAACATTTCCAGTCTTACACAGAGAAAAATACAGTCAGGCATGCACTCACACAAATCACTCCCATTTGGTGCATTAGAGATACATTTTACTTATTCAGAATCAGTTCTTACTGATGGGATATGCTCATTTCATAAAGGAAGGGCAGACTGTGAGCAGTTAGATCTGGTTTTTAGTGGTTACAAAAACAGACAATAAATTTGTCCAAATTTGACATGGAGAATTGTTAGAAAATAAAATTAAATAAAATTGCACTATTGAGAATTGACATGATTATAGTGGTGATGATCAGGTTGCCAATTATGGCTTTGATAACCACAATTCAGTGACCAGTTTTATAAAAAAAAAAATAAAAAAAACACTGATGATAATATAAAGGACAATAAAATAAAAGTATTCCATCTTCTCTTTGCAGTTCGGAGTGAGTGGCCTCACCAGTTTTCTGGAGTTCACTGACAACGGAACTAACCCCAACATCTTCTTTGAAATCCTGGGAACAAATTATGGAGAAGACAGGGGACGAGGAATCAGCAGGGTAAGCAGTTAAAAGGAGAAGGGGGAACCATTTCTACTAATACATAGATGGGATTTACATAATTCTTGGATTTACCAGGGTATTTCAGTGCACACATTTTTTACATTATTTTCATCTAATATTTATTGAGGTATTTCTTTCCTTGTGGTTGTCACCCCCATGGGCAGAGTACAGCCCAGCTACCTTTCTGGATTCTTCTGTGTAGCTTTTTAACCACTTTTTTTTTTTATTCTTTAATTGTTGCAGAACAAATGTGCAGAATGTTTTAAAGCATCTTTAAATTTTTATTCATTTTGTTTTTCTGTTTGGTTGCTTGTTTATTTTATGTTTTTTTTCTATGCACCAGTAGGATGCAACATCATCCCAGCAACTCACCGCCCCTTCCAAAACACCTGGTGTTAATTGGCTTAATTACATGTGTTTTGAAGTGGTATTTGCTGATGATACATGCATAATGAATTTTAAAGACATCCCTTGTCTCAGCAGGCGTGCACACACACGATCACTCACACACACACAATCTCATAATACTGTTTTGTTATTAACTGTGCGTATGTGTGTTTTAATGGTTGTGTACATGCATGAGTGTGTGTCTGTTTGCACTTTGTGTAAATGTATATTAGTGAGTGACTCCCAATCACAGCTGTTGCTCTAAAATCAATTTTCTGATTCTATATTTCAGGCATAAGTATTTTGCTATAATATTTATTTGTACTGTTTGCCTTAACTCACCATACAGCACAGGTCATGACATACTCTTAAACTCCTAAACATGTGAGCACACTTCCTACAAAAGGACTTACTGATGCAACTGATCAATCAGTTTTGTGAATTATACATACAGTGTACATCGATCACCCACAACATTAAAAAGACCCTCTTAATACTTTTAACAAAGATTCAAACTAAATGGAATCTTTTGAAACGGATAAATGAAATGTAAAAGTAGGTCAACAGTAGGTCAACTTCATCATCAGTGAGCCTTGGGTGTCCATGACCCTATTGCATTTCACCATTTGTCCTTCCTTAGGCACTGTTGGTAGGTACTGACCACTGCAGGCCAGGAACACCCAACAAGACCTGTAATTTGAGAGATGCTCTGACCTAGTCATCCAGCCATCGCAGTTTGGTCCTTGTCAGTGTCACTCAAAACCTTACGCTTGCCCATTATTCCTGGTTTCACACATCAACTTTGAGGAGTGACTGTTCATTTGCTGTCTAATATACCCCACACACTGACAGGTGCCACTGTAACAAGATAGTCAATGTTATTCACTTCACATGCCAGTGGCCCTTACGTTATGGCTGATCGGTGTAAGTGGGATAACAGTAGATAAGGATATGTGAGATCCAGACTTGCAATTCATTTGGACAGAGAGATGTCTGTGTGCTCAAATTTGGCATGTACAGTACATGTACTGAACCCACATGCAGAGCACACAGTAGTAAGATACACACACTGAGCCTGTACTCCACACCAGAGGGAATTTTTTACAGATAACAGTTGAGATAGTGAGCTTTGATTATGGGTAATGTGGTGAGACACCAACATAACGCAGCACGGCTTCACAGACAAAATTAATCTTTAAAGCACATCATAATTACACTAAGGCACAATTCCCTAATCAGAGAACCTAATTACTTCTCAGGGAATTAAAGCACTCCTTATACTGTAAAGTATTCCTCAAACATTTGTTGCTCTGTCATTGGGATTCAATGAAATTAATACATGGAATCAAATAACTAAAAAAGGCTGGTATTCTTCTGCCTTAATGCCTGTATAATAACTTTGTCCATGAGGACGAATAATGCATTTCCAAATGACGTAGAGCCCTCTAAAATAGTGTTTATGCAGAACATCTAACATGAACTAAAAGCATGGCCGATACAGTATGTCATGCTGTAGAAAAGATTAGTGTTCACATGTGAAACTGTTTGCTTAAAGAATAATATCAATTAATAATGGCTTGATAGACAATACTTCATTCTGCTGTTAATGAGTCTGTAGGAGTCATCACTGTGTAGTGAAGATGGCTTTTTCTTGTAATGCATTCAGACATAGTTGCAGCGCTTTCTCCATATACTTTTTCCAACTAAACAGGAAAATAGAAAGAAAATAGAGTTGTTCTTGGTGTGACTATTCGGCATAACATCCTTATTCAGTGTTTATATTTGTGAGTCGGACAAAATAATTGAAACAACACAATTCATATTGATCATACAGTTGTATTGTCATATCACAATGTTAAAACTAGATAGCACTCAGATAGTGCAAACCTCCACCAAGGGCAACTCAGTTTCCCCATAATGCAATTACACCTAAAAGCAATCTTCCAATAATTGTTTGACCCTTATTATATGATTGCTTGAGACTATGAAAACCTATCCCTGGCATTTGTAATGATGCTGTTACAACCCAGCATTTTTAGAGAAAAGGGAAGCAACATAAGTTACCAAGTGTAAAAAGGTTAAGTAAAGTTATTTATTAAAATGAAGGGGAGCTTCACAGAAAACAACTGAAATAACAATGACAGGCTAAAAAGAACAATGGGCACAAACAAATCTAACATAGTCAAACAAAATTACTGACAATGTGGCAAATATACTGCTCAAAAAATAAAGGGAACACAACATAAGACATCCTAGATCTGAATGAATGAAATATTCTTATTAAATACCTTGTTCATTACATAGTTGAATGTCTTATTTTCCCTTGTGTTCCCTTTATTTTTTTGAGCAGTGTACATAACAAGTGTCTCGTAAAACAAATGCCTAAGTACAAAGCACATAGTGAGTTAGTACTGAGGATGAATGCAGAAAACATTAAACAATGTACTGGGTATGAGGAATCCCTAAAAAGGGACTACATAGACGGGAGACACTGAAGCAAAAGAACAGAAAATAGAGATAAAGTGATGAGCTGCTCACGTTAAATTGCTGCTAGAATGGGTGGGTAGCTGTAAGTGTGACATATGGATGCTGGTTTATTGGTTAACATGATGTTAACCAAAAAACCAACAAACCTAACAAAAATCTACCAGCCAGTGGCGCAGTGGTTAACGCTACTGAATACAATACAGCAGGTTGGGGTTCACTTCCCTGTCAAAGCATGAGAGCTTGTTTTTGGGGACGACCGTGGGTCAGCAGGTACAAAATAGAACAGCCCTCTCCCAACCGGAGATTCGAATCTCGGTGCCTGCAGTCCACGTGTCGAAGTGTCCTTGGGCAAGAAACTGAACCCCCAAGTTACCCTCAATGGTTAGAGCCATCAGTTGAGTTGGTGCTGCAGATGGCTGCCTCAGTTCTGTACTGGAGACAAATTCCTTGTGTGTAACATACTTGGCCAAATAAAGGCTATTATTAACCACCCAAACACCTACAGAAACAGTAGCCCAGCCCTTGGTGAAGGTAATAAAGCCAAGGAACATGTAACCATTTTGCACTTTGCCACCAGTTTGCTCTTTTAATATATAATATTTGTATTTAGTTTCAGTTTTTCTGTATTTATTTGCAGGTAGAATAGGCTTACTGCTCCATAACTTTCAGGTGCTACACACATCTACATCTATAGGCACTACACATCTACAAGCATCCAAGGCTCCATTGCTTTCTTATATAGAAGTGACAGGGCTGCCAGTTATAATTGCTTTGTTAGTTAGCCACAACATTTTAAATGACTTCAGATAGGAAAAATGTTATCAGATTTAAAACCATCTAAAAAAAAGGGTTGTGGTCAAGTTGTGAGTAACAGGAGAATGAGGAGGGGGGAGGTGATGAGGAAAAAGACTGATATGTTGCTAAATGAGGAAAGGGCTGCATGTGAAGGAGAGAAAGGTAAAATGAAACAGGCAGAAGTGGTAGAGAGATGGCTAGAAATGACATGGATGGCATGATCCCGATAGATTCTGTACAAGCACAGAAACAGCAGCACGGGTCATAACAGAGTCACAGTCATTACACTTACTCTCTCAGACATGTTCATGCTTTCTTTTCTCTTTCACGTCACCACATTCTCCATCTTTTGGAAGAATGACAGAAATATCCTTTTTCTTTACAAGAACCATTGGCCATAAAGGTGCAGTGTTCTTAAATTGAGGTCACCTACAATTATTATCTTCAGTCTTTATCTGATATACTGTATTTAGTAAATGATGTTAATTCACTTTAGAGAGTCATGGGACCTTGGAAGCCCCTGCATAGTCCTGTCATCATACAAGAAATATTTACTTCCATTGCACATTCTGAACAATTGAAAGACAGTTTTTTTAATGTGATAACACGTCCACTAACTCAAACACACATAATAGGTGCAGCTCATTAGGGAGCGCATGGAAGACCATGCACACACACATTTGCATAAATCTTCTGGCATATTTGGAAACACTAAACTAACCCAACAGGCTTTGCATGACAACTGATGTCAATCTGCTGGACTGTCAGGCCATTATATAAGAAGCACTCCAGAGGGTTAAATATTGTTGACAGACTGACATACATAGTTATTATATTAATTTTTCATAAAATATAACAGAAGACATTGTGTTTAATAACCTCTGGTTCAGGATGTAAAATCGGACTCAAACTTCTGCTACTTTTTGTTCCTTTGCAGACACTCACCTGTTATTGTCTTACAGACTAATATCCTGCTGCAGGTTTTTGTCCAAATGTTACTTTCGTCTGCTCATAGACCAGTAGTAAACCAGGACTCATCCAGATATCAGCTGTCATTATCGCTTGTGTGAAGTACAGTGTATGCAATGACTTTTACTGGCCTGGGAGCCCAAAGTAATGTTGACTTTGTCATACCTCATTGAGACTAAATATCTATGGTTATGTTTGCAGCTGAGAGTCTGTGCTTTCACACAGCTGTCCTTTTTAACTCAAAACAATATATCGCAGCCTCTTAGTGATGCTTTTTAGCTCTGTTGCTAATACATTTATATGAGATGGTATGTTTTTTCCATTCCTTCTATTGTATTTGCCCTTTAAGTTGCCTGCTT